CTGCACCAAACACACCCTAGGTACCAGGAGAGGGCAGGACACGGGACCTCGTCGAAATTAAAAATGTTGCTTTGCAAAAAGACCCTGTGAGAGGGAAATGCAAAGGAAAACCACAGGAGCCATCRCCTCGCCCCAGTTTGAACAGCCACCACCAAAAGGAAAAAAAAGAATAACACACGTTGGCAAAGACTCCAAGAAAGGGGAGGCTCCTAGCCGGCGGTGGGGATGTAAATTAGCCTCACCCAAAACAGCCAGGAGGGTCCCCAAGACGCTGAAAATAGAATCCCAGCCTCCAGCATCTGCCCCTGAGTGGGTCTGGGCTGCAGAGGAGTCAGTGCACTAAGATCCGTGTACCGCAGCCAGAGCCGAGAGGGAACCAACTTCGACGGCCCTGGAAGGGTCAAAGATACAGTGGAACACTATTTAGCCATAAAAAGTGAAATCCTGTCATGGCCAACGGGGACAAGCCTGGAGGACACTGTGTTAGGTGAAATAAMCCAGGCTCAGAGAGGCAGATGACCCCGTGTCCTCACCCACAGAGGGAGGCTGACAGGGTGGAGCTCTCAGAAGCAGAGAATGGAATGGTGGCCRCCAGAGGCTGGGAGGGGACCTGGGGTGGGGAGGAGTCGGAGTGAGGCCGGCGAGTCTGCAAAGTTAGAGCTCGGTGGGAGGAACGTGCTTTGTATAACTCAAAATAGCCAGAAGACAGGGCTTTGCCCGTTCTCACTGTGAAGAAATAATAAATATTTCTTCAGGGGCGCACCTGGTCATAGAGCGCCTGCGCAGTGTGCGTGAGGCCCCGCGCTCCGTAACCCACGTGGCAAAAAAAGAAAAACGAAGAAAAACAAAGAGAAAATTCATGTTTGAGGACATAGAGATGAAAATCATCCTGATCTGATATTTGGCGTTTGTTTACATACATCAAMATATCACACAAAAAGTGTGAAATGATGTGTTTATTAAAAATAATTTTTTCCAGGTGTAGTGGTGCATGCCTGTAATCCCAGCAATTTAGGAGGCTGAGGCTGGAGGATTGCAAGTTGGAGGCCAGCTTTATCAATTTGGCTAGACGTAAGCAATTTAGTGAGACTCTATCTCAAAGTTAAAAAATAAAACAGAAAGGTCTGGTGATGTGGCTCAGTGGTAARTGCCCCTGGGTTCAATCCCAGGTGCCCCGCCCCCCCAAAAAAGGAGAGATAGAGAGACATTGCCCGTAGGTGTAGTGGTGCACACCTGTAAACCCAGCCCCTTGGGAGGCTGAGGCAGGAGGATCTCCAGTTCAAGGCCAGCCTTAGCAATTTAGCAATTTAGTGAGGTCCTGTCTTAAAGTGAAAAAGGGCTGAGGGCTGGGGATGTGGCTCAAGCGGTAGAGCGCTCACCTGGCATGCGTGCGGCCCGGGTTCGATCCTCAGCCCCACATACCAACAAAGATGTTGTGTCTGCTGAAAACTAAAAAATAAATATTAAAAGAATTCTCTCTCTCTCTCTCTCTCTCTAAATATTAAAAAATTTTCTCTCTCTCTTAAAAAAAAGGCTGGGGATCTTGCTCTATGGTAGAGCACCCCTGGGTTCAACTTCAGTACTAATAATAAATAAATAATAAAAATAGAAACAAAAAAATTTTTTAAAGGGTTGGGGATATAGCTCAGTGGTAGACTATGCCTTGGTTCAATCCCCAGTCACAAAAAAATAAAAATAAATTTTCAAATGTTCGCTACTGTTATGTATAACTAAAAAGAACAAGAACAAAAAAAAGAAGTTTAAGATGTGGTATATTACAGAAAAGAATGGAAAGACAATACAGAGGGGGAGAAAATGTTCCACCAAGAACTACTCAGAATAACTAGATAGGCGWCTAGAACATATAAAGAATTCTCACAGAGAGAATCTCAAAACTCAGCACAGAAAAATAATCCAACTGGAACAGAGTGAGATGTGGGCAGGCTGGGCTGAGCTCTGGGCTGAGCTCCGGGTAGAACGCTGGCCCTGCGAGGGTGAGCCTGGGTCCCATCCCCAGCCCTATTTTGTATTTTATTGAGAGACAGGGTCTCCCTGAGTTGCTTAGGGCCTCGCTTCTGCTGAGGCTGGCTTTGAACTTGTGATCCTCCTGCCTCAGCCTSCCGAGCAGCGGGGATGACAGGTGKGCACCATCAACCAGACTATAATATTCTTGAGGGGACAAAACTCTACAAATGCATGGTTTCCAGGGGTGCGGCAGGGACATAAAAACTGTTAAATACAAACGACTGAAGGCCACATCATGGAACTCAGCTCCTGCACAGWCCAAACTAAAAATCGAAATGGAGTCATGAAACTAAGCGGTTTATCTGACCTTCCCAGAAATTAGGATTAGAGAGATATCAAGTTAAATTTCCCAAACAGGCCAGTGTCCACGGACACTGTAATGAAGTTTTGCTGCTTTAATCCCTACACAAAAGAAGTCTCCTGAAATAACCGCACGTTGGCTCAGGGGGTCTTTTCCTAGCCTGTCTCCCTGCCTTGGAAGGAAAGGAGTTCTGAATGGCCAGGGTGCTTTTTATTTCTCTTCATCCTTTCTTCAAGCCCCTTCATTTCTGTAACGCCCTCCTCTGCTTCAATCATCAATATATTTATTCTATTTTTTTTTTTTTTTTTTTTTGGTGGAATAATGTGTTGCCAAACCCTAGAATTGAACATAAGGCCGATTAAGTTCCTCCCACTAGGGCCTGGGCCTAGCTCAGGGGCGGAGCCAGTGTCTACCAAGAGCTAAGCCCTGGCTGGGTCTATCCCCCCTTCCTTCCTTCCCTTCCTTCCTTCCTTCCTTCCTTCCTTCCTTCCTTCCTTCCTTCCTTCCATCCTTCCTTCCTTCCTTCCTTCCTTCCTTCCTTCTTTCCTTCCTTGGTCTGGCAATGTTGCCAAGGCTGGCCTCAAACCACACCCACCCTGAGGGGAGCCTCCTGTGCCAGCCTCCCAAGAAGCTGGGACTATAGGTACACACCATCCAAGCCAAGGCCCTGGCTCAATCCCCAGCACTGCAAAAGAGAAAACAGGAAAAAAAAATAGGAGACCCACTCTGATAACCATTTGTAGTTTTTTGGATTATTATTATTATTATTATTTGTACCAGGAATTGAACCCAGGGGCATCTAGCCACTGAGCCGCATCTGCAGTCCTTTCTATTTTTTATTATGAGATAGGGTCTCATTAGGTTGCTGAGGGCCTCACTAAGTTGCTGAGGCTGGCAACCCTCCTGCCTCAGCCTCCTGAGCTGCTGGGATTACATGCAGTTTTTGATACAGTTAAAAATACACTCGGGGGCTGGGGATGTGGCTCAAGCGGTAGAGCGATCGCCTGGCATGCGTGCGGCCCGGGTTCGATCCTCAGCACCACATACCAACAAAGATGTTGTGTCCGCCAAAAACTAAAAAATAAATATTAAAAAAAAAGAAAAAAATACACTCAACAGACTAGTCAACAATAATTCTACTCTTACGTACTCACACAAGGGAAATGACAATTTATGTTCACACAAAACCTGTACATCAATGCAGGGTGTATTTGCTTTTGCCTAGAACCATCAACAACACAGCTCTCCTCCATCTGAGGAAAGAATCAAGGAACTGTAGAATAAATACTACTCAGCAATGAAAAATCACGGACTTCCGATTTGTGTCTCTGCTTGACAAATACCAAATGAATATTGCTAATTGAAGGACGACAGATACAAGGGGCCACCCCCTGTATCATACACACCTATGATATTCCGAGAAAGAAGAAACTGTCAAGGACAGGGAACAAGCCTTGWGGTTGCCAAAAGCTGGGTAGGTTACAAACAGGCACAGGATTTCTAGGGATGATGGACATGTTTCCTATCTTGATTGGGATGGTGGTTACACAATTTTATGCATTTGCCTCAACCCTAAGAGCCAGGTACAGTGGTGCACACCTGTAATCCCAGAGACTAGGGAGGTTGAGGCAGGGGGATCGCAAACTTGAGGCCTGTCTCTGTACCTTTGTGAGACCSTCAGCAACTTAGCAAGACTGTGGAATGGGTTGGGATATGGCTAAGTGGTAAAGTGCCCCTGGTTCAATCCCAGTACAAAAAAATGAGAGAAAAAGTGAGATCATGTATCTTATTATAGCTTGACATCAGATCATGCAGAAAGAAAATATGTGCAATTCAATGCAAAATGCTCAAAAATAAAATGTACATTACCATGATGATGATGATGATGATGATGTGATGTCTGTTTTGCTATACTAGGGTTTGAACCCAGGGAGCTTTATCTCTGAGCTACATCCCAGCCATTTTTATTTATTTATTTATTTATTTATTTTTTAAGCCCTATCATTCTTTCTGATGGTTGAGTGGACACACAGGCACGTTAGTGAGGCCCAGGCCCACCCAGCCGGGAAGAGGTTTGGCCAGTCGTGGCAAATTCTCTTTATTTCAGTACTGGGGATTGAACCCAGGGGCGCTCTACCACTGAGCCGCGTCCCCAGCCCCTTTTATATTTTATTCATTTATTGATTCATTTTCAGTACTGGGAATTGATTCAGGGGGAACTTTACTACCGATCCCAAGCTCTTTTTAATTATGATCTACAGACAGGGTCTCACTAAATTGCTCAGGGCTTCACTAAAATACTGAAGCTGGCTTTGAACTCGCGATCCTCCTGCCTCAGCCTTCCAAGAYGCTGGGATGACAGGCGTGCGCCCCCTCGCCGGCCTCCCTTGGCAACAACTTGGTGGAGGACCSCCCTCCCCACTGCACCCGAGGTGGAGGAGCTGGGTGGGGGGAGCGCCTCGCGCCTCCGCCCCTCCCTTCCTCCTTCTCCCAGGGTGGGTTCCCCCGGCCGCAGCCTGGCAATGGAATGTTGTGTCGTTGGTTGCCCAGGCAACCAGGGCCCGCTCGGCCACTGCCTCCTGGGAGTCCTGGGCGCGCRGCCGCGTTCCCAGGGCCTGGTAGGCTCCTGCAAGACTCCAGCAGGTTCAAAGACAGAGAGGCCAGCGCGGGGACGATGGCTGTGCCCTGGGAGGACTATTTCCGGCTGATCTTGCAGGAGAAGCTGTCCCAGTGAGTGTGACACAGACAGGGAGGAAGGCAGCGGTGGGCGGGTGTCCCACGCCTGCTCCCCCAGCCCCTGGGTCCCCATTGCTCTGGACAGTTCACAGTGAGAAAGAAGAAGCTGAGGTTCTCAGAGGAACCGCGACTTCCGCGAGGGCTCAGGCCATAAAGCTTTTGCCCCAGGGTGGAGAGGAAGGGAGGTGCCCCCTGGGCTGCTCCCCCTCCGGGAAACTGCCTTTTGGGGAGGAGTGCATGCATTGAGTTGGCCAGTGCCACCGAGTGTCCTAACCTCAGTCCTAGCATCTGCAAAATGGGTCGGTGGGGGTGTCCCCGATCACAGTGGGCAACCCTTGCCAAATGAAACCTTAGTCTAGCCCCTCTGGGAGAGCAGGTCACCTGGACCCTGCTACTTCTGGCCAGCTCCCTGACTGGGTCTAACAGGGTCACCCGGGAGCTCGGCCCAGGAGGGAGCTGGTCCCCCACCCCACCTGCTGGCCCCACAGCCTTCCCTCAAACACCATCCCTCGCCCACCGAGGTCACCCCCTCGGCCCTCCATCAGCCCTGCTCCCAGCTAGTGCCCTGGAGGGACCCCTTCTTCCCTCCCCAGCCCTCCCTGACCCACTGCGTTCTCTGCAGAATCTCCGGAGCTGGTCACTGGGCTCCTGCAGCTCTGCACCAAGTTTCTTCTTTTTCTTTTTTCTTTTCACAACAGCCACAGGAGATTCTTCTCTGCTCAAAGCCCCTCCTGGCTCCCATCCCACTCAGGGTCCAGCCAAAGTCCTCCCTCACCGTGACCTGCCCTGGGCACCTCTCTGCTCTCAATCCCCGCCTCCCGCCTCCTGGCTCTTCTCTCTGGCCTCACCGCCCCCCACCGACCCTTCCCTGGGGGTCTTGGCATGGCTGTCCTGGTCTCCTGACTYCCTGTCGAAGTTCCCCTGGTCTGCTGACATCTCATCTGGGGGTCTGCCATGGCCTACCAGTACTATAATTGATTAGCTTGATCTTCTGTGGCCCCAGGAGAATTCCAGCTCCTGGGGGGGGGGGCAGGGACTTTCTTTTCTGTCTTCTTTGCAGTGGCTCCAGCACCAAGAGCAGTCCTGACACACAGCGGTGCTCAGGTCAACCCGCCCAATGAGTGAAGAATTCAGTAGCCAGTGGTGGCTGGCGGGGACATCTGGGCTCGAGGGTGGAATTGGGGAGCCGTGATTTTTGCCTCCTTGACCTCCACCTCCTTCTTGAGCCCCTCTAGGAAGACACCAGAGGAGAATGTGGACCACTTCCCACCCGTGCTGCGCCTCCTGGAGAAGAGGAAAGAGCTGGCAGCTGCAGACCGGGGTCTGCAAGCCCAGAGGGAGGTGAGCTTCTCTGGACCAGGCACGTCCCCATCCTGAGCCTTGTCTTCCTCTTCTGTCAAGAGGAGAATCAAGTGAGAGCAGTTGTGGGTGCWCTGAGCACCTACTGTGTGCTGGGCATGGGGCTGGGATCTGGAGTGCCATCACAGTCCCTGCCCTCAGGAGGCTTACAGTCTAGAGAGGAAAAGAGACAAGTGACCAGATGGGGATCGTTAGGAGGGGGAGCATGGGCCGAGGCTGTGGGAGCCCAGAGGAAGCCCCTGTTTCCCTGTGGGAGTGGTCAAGGAGGACTTCCTGGAGGAAGGTCTTGGGACTAGCAGAGGGGCAAGCGGGCTTATTCAGCAAGGGGAGATGGGTTCGGGAGGTGGGGAAAGAAACAGGCAAAAGGGACCATCCTATGCAAAGACAGGGAGRCAAGGACAAAGCACAGATGCAAGTGGCCGGATGACAGTTTCAGGAGGAGAGGCTGAGACCAGGCAGGGCAGGGACACAGGCTTTCAGGCTACAGGAGGGTGTTTGGGCTTCTTCCTGGAGAGGGGGAGCGGAGGCCGGATCCGAGCAGGGACAGTGGATGGGAGGGGTTAAGTGTGAACTGAAAGCATCGGATGACTTGAATCCCCAAACTCAGAGCCACCCCGCTCCTCACCCCCAGGAGTTCCACACCACGATGACAGCCCTGGAACAGCGCTGGGCAGAGCTGGCACAGAAAGAGCAGCAGCTCAAGGGGTCCTTTGTCCGCTTTGACAAGTTCCTGCAGGTAGGTGGCGACGGCTGGGGGAGGTCACAGGGACCCACACCGTACAATCCAACAGGGGCCAGGGGTCCACACAAGTAAAAGTATGGGTTTAGTAACGCAAAAGGGACAGCCTGAGAGAAGGAGAAGGGGCGAGGGACCCAAATCTGAGATTGGGCCGAACTTGGCCCGCGGGCGGGTGTTTGTCACCCTTGGTGGCTCAGCGTGCGTATCGGGGCGAGGAGGAGACGGCGGCGAGCTCCAGCTCCGCAAGTTCCCGAGTCGCATGGGTCGCGGGTCCCGCTCCCCAGGACGCCGAGATGCGGCGCGGCCGCGCGCTGCAACGGGCGGCGGAGGAGCGACACCGCGCGGACCGCCAGGGGGCGGAGGCGCTGCGGCTGCGGACTCAGCTCCAGGAGCTGCGGCGGGAGCGCGCGCGGCTGCAGCGCCGGCTACAGAGGCTGGAGCCGTGCGCGCGCCTGCTGGAGCGAACGCTGGAAAAGCTGCCCGAGGTGAGCTGGGGAGCGCAGCCGGGGCCCAGCTCCACCGTGCAGCGACAGAATCCCCTGGCATGGACGGAGCACTAATGGAGCGCTGACTGTATGCAGGAACCATCACTTACTGAGTGCTCACTGTATACCGGTAGCACGCTTTGTTCCTGAATCATCCCCACAGACAGTAAAGTGGGTTCTGTTAGTGTCAACCCCATTTTACAGAAAGTCAACTCAGCCGATGTCACACAATTAGGCATGTGTGTGTGGCAGGTGGGGAGAATCCGGATAATCAACAGGTATCACTAATTGAATGAACCCAGGGACGAATGTTAACCAGGCAGTGAGGGTTGATGGTGGCGGTCGGAAGGTGGAGTGGGGCTCACGTCTGACACCCTGGGGCCAGCGAGGTGCGACGCCCCCCTTTCACAGTTGAGCAAATCGAGGCGCCGCTGGAGTGTTGGCGGCCCAGGCACGGAGGGCAGGGCCAAGGGAATCCCTCTCCGGTCCCAGTTCCAGGAGGTCCCAGAGCTGGTGGCTCGTTTCGACACCCTGGCAGACACGCAGGTGGCCCTGAGGCTCACGGAGCGAGAGCGGCTGGCGGAGCTCGAGGCGACGCGGGCGCAGCTGCAGCGGCTGCGGGACAGCGAGCAGGACCAGCTCCTCGCGCAGGCGCAGCGGCGAGCAGAGCTGMGGGAGCGACTGGAGTCCGCGCGGGAGCGCGCGCTGGAGTGGGTGCGGCCTGCCGGGAGGCGCGTGCCGGGCGCCACCTCTCACTCTGGAGGGGCGGGCTGGCTAACAGGGGGGTGTCAGACGTGAGAGTGCGCTACGGGGCCCCAGGGGCTGGGCTGTGGGGGCACGTGACATGCCGAGCTCCCTCCCGAGGGTGCACCTGTCTGGTGCAGGTGGATGGGGGAAGCCCCAGCCCTTGGAGGACCCGTTCCCGCATTAACCGGGAGCCGGGCGGGTGTATGGTCTCCAGGAATCTAAGTGGATTCAGATCCAGAACACTGCAGCCGAGAAGACCCTGCTCCTGGGCCGCGCGAGGATGTCAGCGCTCAACCTGTTCCAGACAGTGTGCCAGCACCTGAGGCAGCCACCAGCCCTGGACATTGAAGACACTGAGGGGCAGCTGGAGCAGGTGAGGCTTCCCCCTGATGTTATGTCCTTCAGAAACACCCGGCGCCTCAAAACCCTCCCACGGCAACACCTTCTCTGGCTAAGCTTGGCGCTAGCCCCGGATGTGGGCTCCATCAGCGCCCAAGCACCCTGCCTTTCATCTGGGCTCTGACGGTGACCTTGACCTGCTGTGCAGAAGACAGCCCCATGCCCCTGGGTCTCAGGGCACCTTGTGCCGAGTGTCAGGTGCCTGATGGACACCCCAAGTTTGTGCCCAGTCTCAGTGACACCTCTGAGACAGTGTACACTCTGACCGTCTGCTCCTGGCACGAGGCGTCGCGGCCTCTTTAGGGAGCCTGAGCACAGATTAGGCACCATACATCTTTTCAGCCCAGTGGCGCCACCAAACGTCCCTGTGGACGGAGCACACCTGGCTTCTCAAGGTTGAAGAGGCTGTAGGACACACAACATGGCCTACAAGGCCTCTTCTTTTTKCAGTACTGGGCACTGAACACAGGGCCTTGCACAGACTAGATGAGTGCTCTGCCAACACCGAGCTACATTCCTAAGCCTTTTCAAAATTCGAGATAGGGCCTCAATAAGTTGTCYAGGTCTCAAACTACCCATCCTCCTGCCTCAGCCTCCAGAGTTGCTGGGTTACAGGTGTGCACCACCACACCTGGCAACTTCATTATGCTTTTTCCATCTTTGCTGGAGGGTTCCCTTCTCAGATGCTCACTTAGGTGAGAAACCTGAGGGCAGCCCAGGGATGGTGAGTGGTGAGCTGGCCACCAACGCCCATGACAGTGGATCTATGGATTCTTAGTATTATGTTCATATTAATTACAAGAAAGGAGGGCCACCCACCTATGGAGATGAACAGATCACAAACCAATGAGTATGCCCCACCCAAYRAACYCCACATCCGGGACAGGGACACACAWGGAAACGTAAACTGAGTGATAAATMCMACCTCTATGGTAACTYTGTTGCTCGGTTTCAGTCCTATACATAGGACACTGGGACATAACGGGTTTTAAAAAAGGGTGACATGAGGAGTGAACACCTACAGCTGGGAACRTGGACTGTCTGGGGAGGAGTTGCCCTGAACAGCCCTGGGAACCAGGTGGCTTTGCTGCTGCCCCATACTGGGGCCTCCGGCCCCCACCCCTACCTCGCAGCCTCCCAGGTGTTGTGTGGGGGGGGGAGGCTGGCCATCCACTAGAGGCTGGGATGTGCCGTGGCTGCACTCGTTCCCCAGGTGAAGCTCTTCATCCTGGACCTCTCTGCCATGCTGACCAGACATCGCCAGCCTGAGCCTGTGGCCACCACCTCCCAGCCCTGACCCAGGTGCACGGTGAGCGGGAGCTGAGGGACCCAGCCCTGGGAGGAGGCGCCACACTCACTAGGGGTGCAGGCTCCAGGCCGCCCTGATCTGTTTTCCCAGGAGGAAGACGGAGCTGTGCCTGCCCAGGCCGCAGTGTCTAGATGCATGTCTGGTGTGATCAAGGTGGACCAGCAAGGGGCTGCGGGCAATGTGCGGGGCACCCCCTACCCAGAGGCCACACATCMAGAGGCCTGCAGCTATGTACTCCGCCGGGGACGGGGACGGGCCATCCTGAGGGGCAGCCACTGGAGGCTCCTGACTCTCAGAACCTCAACAGGGTGACAGGAGCTCTGAGCAGGACAGAAGCAGGATGGCTCTGACCTCTCACAGCCAGAGGGCAGCAGCTGGCCTTGTGGCCCCAGCTCGCCTGTCCTGAGCCCACACAGGCAGCTGACTCCCCTCTGAGCCAATAGAGCACCCTCAGGGGACCCAGGTGGCATCACATGGGGCGTACACAAACACTCTCAACTGCCACATTAGCTGCGCGACCTGTGTCTCCCCCTCGTCTCCCCAAGAAGACTCTACACTCAGGTCGCGAAAGGTACTCAGTGTCTCCCCCTTCTAACTCCCCAAGAAAACTCTACTCTCAGGTCGAGCAGAGGTACTCAATAAAGGTTTATCATGTTGAAAACCATCACTGAGCCTGAGGCACTCRGGGCTGGGACCATGTGACCATGACCTCTGAACCCAGAACTCACAGCAGCAGCAGCAGTGACTCAGTTGCCACGTTGGGTCCTGCCTGTCTGGCTTTGCTGGCGAACTCCTACACAGGCTCCAAGGCCTAACTCCAGTGTCCCTTGGTAGAGGCAGGGGCTGCCCCTGTGGCGGGAGGCACTTCCTTCCCACAGGGCACAAGCTCCTGCAGGCAGCCCCCCAGTAGCKCGTGGGAAATGACTGCTCGTGTCCACACTGGGGCCAGGCTTCGGGCTGAGTCCTGGTCCTTACATCCTCTTCCTCATCTTGCCCTTCCTGGAGGGGGCACCCCGGCCAAAGGCGCCCTGCTGCAGCTCCCGGACCCGGCGGCGGTTGCGAGCAGAGAGCTGCTTGAGGCCCCCGCGCTGCAAGAAGCGCATCTTCTGGGCCCGGCGTCTCTGCTTCAGGATCTGCTGCTTGGTCTTGAGCTCGGAGCGYACGTGGCCTGTGGGGGCACCTGGGGCACGGGGCTGGGATGCACCTGCCAGGACATAATTGGGGGCTGAGCAGCTCCTCCCTGCCCCGTCCCTGCCCTGCTCAATGCTGTGGCCCCCAGTGGCTGGTATGCAGTGGGTACTTAACCAGGWGAGAAGGGAGAGGGAAAGAGGAGAGTCAAAGGCAGCCGGAGAGAGGGGGGAGGAGACAGAGGAGGCAGCGCTGGCAGGAGGACACCAGAGGAGTGGGCCTGCGGCCCGGGTAGSAGACAGGCAGGCCCTGGCAGCCCCAGGCACAGAGGGCAGGCAGCGGCCAGCCCCACCGGGCTGCAGAGATAAGTAGAGGCTAAGGCCACCCAAGGGAGCCTGGGACATGGTGCCAAGTTCCCCTCTCCCCAGGGCTGGATCCAGGTGGAGGGTGGCAGGCAGCTGGGCAGCCTGCGTTCAGTCCCTGTCCTCACCCCCGTTTCCCTGTTTATAAAGTAGGCACTGTCTCCTAGCCCCACAGGTCATGTGTGACATGTYGAGGACATAGCCTGTACCTCCCTAACAGTAGGCTAACCCGCAGTGTTTGGGGGCAGGGTTAGAAGGGGCCCAGCTGCAGATGAATCCCTTCAGAGCATGAGGAGGACTGAGTGGGGTCGGAGGGCAGGCAGTGGCCTCTCTGCTCCTCGGACTGCCCCAGGRCCTTGCACACAGGGGTCTGCCCCAGGGACTGCTCCATGCTGGATCATGCCAGAGTCTGTGGTCACTAAAGCCTCTGGCAGATGGAGTGGCTTCTGATCTCATCTAAGGTGGATCAAATCAACCAAGCCCCAGGTGGCCCAGGGGTATACTCGCCAGCCCTCATTTCCAGGGACATCTCCCAACCTCCCCACACCGCCTCCTCCCTGGATCAAAGCAGCCTCCTGACYGTCAGCTCTTGTAAAAAGAACTCTACAGTGTTGCCAGAGAACCCCAGTCCTGCCAGCGTCCAAGACAATCTCCCCGCGCTCGCTCCCCCAGGTCCAACCTCCAGCAGCTGAGGTTGGTGCAGGCGAGATGGCCGTGCCATGGCCATCCCAGCACCYCCCCCTGAGGTGGGCAGATCAGGGACAGGCACCGAGCGGCACAGCTCTTTCAGTGCCTGTCAGCAGGTGCTAGTGACTGGGGGAGCCCAGGTCAAGTCCACTGAAGGACTTCACAGGGGCAGTGGTTTTGARCCCCACAATCAGCCAGCCTGGGGACAGGGTCTTGTTGGTGAGTGGGGAGTGGGAGCTTCGAGTCCTTGGCAGTGCCCACCTGGGGCTCCTCTCTGTGCTGCTTTTCCCTAACGTGACCACACCTGCTCTGTCCACCAGCGTGCTCACCTTCCCCGTCCTGCTACTCACCTTGGCCACGCCCTCGCTTCCCACCTCTTCGGGCTGGACCTCGTCCATCAAATGTCCCTTCTTCCTCTGAGTCACGATCATCAATTTTCTGTTTCTGTTTCCACTTTTGGTAGCTGGGAAGGCATGTTAAGGAAACTTCACGTGGTACCCTACTGCCCACTACAGCGGACACAAGCCCCGCTTATAGAAGCCGGGGCGCAAAACCATGTGGCCCCGCCCCAGCAGGTACAGGTCCCTGGCACAGGAGGCCTCCAGGAAGCAGCCCCTACCCTGGCCCTTCTCCACCCTTGGCCTCGCCCCCAGCAAGTATAGGCCCTTGGCACAGGAGACCCCCTGAAAAAGCAGCCCAACCCGCCCCTCCCCTCCCCTGGCCCCGCCCCAGCAGGTACAGGCCCCTGGCACAGGAGGCCCCCAAGGAAGCAGCCCGCCCCGCCCCGCCCCTCTGGATACAGGTCCCGCTTGTAGGAGCTGCTGATGTAGCGGCCGCTCTCRGTCTTGATCTTCTTTTTGTCCTCCTGTCCTGACTGTCCCACAAACCGCTTCTTCTTCCGGTCCCTGGTAGAGGAGTTAGTRGGGCTGCCATGAGGGAGATGGCCTGGGATGCCCAGGTTCCCTGTGGGGCCTGTTCCCTCACTGGGACCCCTGCATGGGCCCTGGGCCATCAAAGGAAAGCAGTGCTGCCACGCCCAGGGCCCAGAAGGTGCTCTGCCCACCTCACCTCACCTTTCCCTGGCAGCCCAGGTCTCAAAGGGGGTTRGGGGGTCAGAGGACTGGCATCGGCACTGCAGTGGGGGTTGGGGTCCTCCTGGAAGGTTCCAGTCCCCACCTACCAGTTCCTGGCTTTGTGACCCAGGTAGAGTGGCACTGAGAGACCTCATGAGCAAAACTGGTCATAAGCCTGTCAGGAGAGCTGGCAAGAACCCTGCAGTGTGCGACCAGATCACCGGCAGGCAGGCAAGGAAGGGGCACAGACAGGAGCCCCCAGCAGACAGGCCCCCCAGTGGGCACGCCCACTTGCACTCACCACTTGAGCTGCTGCTGGCCTCTGGTCAGGTTCTGCGCTTCGTCCCCCATCAGGTCCAGGACGGCACCAGCCACCTGCTGCTCGAAGGCTCCCCCAATCCCACCGACACTCAGCCTGAAAGGAGGGTGTGCAAGGTAAGGGGGGATGGCGTGGCCCAGAGGGTCCCGGTGCCCACCCAAGACCCAGCTGGCCACTTACCCCCGCTCGCTGTCGAAGTCCTTGGGCCGGTAGGGGACGTAGAACTCCTGGTCCCGCTGCTGGGCCTCYGCCCTCCGTCTCTTGGCTCCTCCGTGAGGTGCTGGCCTCTGCCGCTTCTGGCCCACGACCTCTGTGAAGACATGCTGCAGGCAGGAGGCCCAGCGTCACCACTGTGGCCCCTGGGGAGCCACTACGGCTCTCCACATCCACTGCCCAGCCAGAGCTCAGGGTCCAGAGCTTCCAGGGGCTTTACAAATCTGGCTTTCCCATTTTGGGGGTACTGGGGATGGAATGCAGAGRTGCTTCACCACCGAGCCACATCCTAAGTCCTTTTTATTTTTTATTTTGAGACAGGGTCTCCTTAAGTCGCTGGGAACCTCACCAAGTCGCTGGCTTTGAATTGATCCTCCTGCCTCAGMCTCCCAAGCTGCTGGGCCTACAGTCATGGGCCACTGTGCCCAGCATGGCTTTCCCATTCATTAGCTGGTGAACAGGTCTCCCGTGGAACCCATTTCCCCATCTGCACGAACAGCATAACCCCTGCCTTGGCCATCAGAGGCAGGACGGATGAGGAGGCAGCGTGCCAACTCTGAGACCCTCATTCTAGTCCCAGCTTGGCCCCCAAACTGTCTCTGTGCTGGGGCTTGTTCCACACAAGGACTCACTGGGGCCTTCAGCTATGCCTGTGCCTACCAAACCCTCCACCAGCGGGACCAGAGAGAGARACAGGTGCTGTCACCATCCAGGGACCTTCTGCCAGGCAAGTGGGACACTTCAGGACCCGTCATGATCCTCCAGCTGCCTTTCAGAGGTCACTATCTGATGCTGCTCCTGTCACCTGGCTGCTGCCCACATCCCTCCTCTGCCCCTTCCAATCTGCCTGAGCCTCAGCCTGGAACCCACGATGACCCACCCACAGCGCCTCAGGGCTAGGGCAGGCGCGGTGGCTGCTCACCACAAGCCCTGGGCCCTCCCGCTCCTCCGACCGGGCAGTGGCGCCCTCCCTCTGGTCTGTCCTCCCTCGGGCGTGGAGGCCCAAGGCCTCACTGCTGGGTCTGACATGTCTGACCCCCRACCCCCAAGTGATTGTGCTCTGCAGACGCTGAGCCTGGGCCCCGGGCTTTAGAGGACAGAGATGGGCGCCTCCCCAAGGAGGGCCCAAAGCCCCAAGGACAGCCCTGTGGGCTGCTGGGACATCACCACCCCTCCCCCAGCCCCAGCTCCAGGGCCCCAGATGGCACCCGTACCTCTACATCCTCTCCCTCGACCTCCTCTTCCTTCTCAGGCTGCTCCTGAGGTGCAGGGCAGCGCTGGGAGGGGCCAGCCAGACCTTTCTGATGTTCCTGACGCTCTTTTCGTCCCTGCTGGAAGCTGGCTATGGCTTTGCGGTCCTTTTGCCGCTTGGCACGCATCACCTGGCTACTCAGGTCCCGGCTGGAGGCATTGATCTCAAAGATGGTCTGTGCAGGGGACACCAAGTCGGTTGCCTATGGGC